TAAGAATATCTAGATTTCGTGGAAAATAATTTCCGCGGCATCGTCTTTGACCCATTTTATTGGGATCATGATGGAAACTATGATAGCAAGAATTTAAAAATGAGGAAAAATAGAAAATTCTAATGCAAGAATGATTGTCACTGCCATATAAATTTATATAAAAGTCTTGAATAAGAGTAAAAAACTTATCTCAATCAATATATATATATATATATATATATTTATAGATATTGACATATATACATACATATACTATATATATAAATCCTCTTCGATAAAGAAGTGGCTAAGAGCCAAAGTGAGAATGCGAAATTCATTTCGATGGAATCTCGAAATTTTCAAACCATTTGCCTTGAAAACTCAAAACATATTATATTATGTATGATACATTAAACAAATGTTTCGATTGCCCTATAAACGTTTCCCCTTCAACAATAGCTTCTTAAATTATTTATTTAAAAAAAACTATTTTACAATTTAAATTAATAAAATAGATTAATAAATAGAATAATAAAAAAAGAATGAATGTGATGTATTGCGGAATAAATTGAAATACTTCGCCAAGATATATATATTATATTATATTATTATATTATATTATTTTATATTCACTGAAAATTCCCTAGGAATCTGACACTTTTTCTACAAAGTTAATAATATAATAATAATAATATAAAAACAATGAGAAATAAAAGAAATAAACAAATTAAATGATGAAAAAAATAATACAATATAAAGAAACAAAAAGTACCTTGATTTTGAACCGTCAATCAAAGCGTCTTCGAATTGGTCCAAAACTTCTCAGAAAATAAGGTTAGGTTGCATCAATTAATCTCATGCTATATTTTCTTGTGCAAAAATCTTTTTCGTAAAATGATGATTTAACTGACTGGTTCTAATTCGAATACACATATGTAAACACATTCCAAAAAAGCGTCTCCAAAGTGAATGCTAGCGAATCGACAAATCTAATGTTAAAATAATATGTTAACAAGAACTCAATGGTCATCGAATATCGAAAGAGAAGAAAAAAAAAAGCATAGTGGCAACGATGATGTTAACTACTAACGATGCATATTGGCCAGCGGCAAAGTTTCGCCTCAAAAAAGTTAATCGACGAGCTGCTGCTTTATTTCTGGACGCCGCGCACGCTCGATCAGTTCACACACGTGTCTAGTTATTTTTAATCCACTATGATGCGTACCAGCCACACAGAATAGACAGAGATGAGATAGTGTCTGCGGCGCGCCGGGAACTATATAACTTCATGCTTCCTGTAAAATTTTCGTATATATCACGGGTCAATAAATTCCCAGCACGTGGCAGTCTTGATGTCTTGATCGGGTCTCAAGTGGTTAATGTGTCGAACCAAACATATCAATGTAAAACTAACTATTTTGTCTTACGGTAACAAATAATTAATTTATGAAAAATCGTTATAGGAAGACCTGATGACGATTACATAGTTACATTACGCATGCGTGGCACGTACAGTTCCTTTTCGTTTTTGATTCAAAACATCAGCGTAATTAAATTTTCTCTCTAAAATCGATAAATTCATGAAACGTGATTCATAAATTCGTGATCATGCCGTGATTGAATATCAATTAATTTATCAAGAGACAATTTTGTACAATCGATTGATATAATCTGAAAACAAAATTAACTTTCGATATTTAAAAATCGCAATATGTGCAATATTATCTTTTATATATATATAAACTTTTAAAAAAATCTTGTATAGCAAAAATTCTTGTATACAGAGTATATATATATATTAGATATAGAGTATATATATTATAATAAGTGATTTTAAATATTTAAGAAATATTTAAAAAATATTGAAAAAAATTTGCATAATTATATAATCTTATTTGTTTATAAAATATATAATTTTATATAAAATATTGTTTTTAGATAAATAATAAGAATATTTCAATATTTCAAAAATAAGAATATTTCAAATCCATTAAAGTATTGATTTCATATGGAGAAGAATTAAGGATTTTCATATTTTAAATAAATTTTCTGAAACATTTTCTGAAATACAAAACTTTTTTTAATCTATAGATCTATATATTCAATAATATTTTGATATAAATTCGGTAATATGGAATTAACTTCCAAAAATTTATGAATACAAAAATTGCGATAAAATAATGCAATTAACAAATTTTTCTTGAGAGAATAGTTTCATTTATAATAAAAAAAAAACTATTTAAGGCAGAATAAAATAATATAATTTACAATATATATGAAAATATCTGTTTTAACATAAAAAAAATCAATTTCTGAAGTAATAAAGTAATTGAAAAATTTAAACAAGATTTTTTCTTTCTACGAATTATGAACGCTTAAATTATTAATTTAATTGCTACGAATTGTAATATTAAAATTTTTAGAATTTATAGAATTTGTTATGATTTTTATAATCTTCTTCATAAAAAATACCATTTCTAAAAAAAATAATAAATTTCTTAAAAATATAACAATCATGATCTTCATTTCTATTCTAATACAGTGAAGATAAAAAATTCAGAACAAATAAAAGTAATAATAATTTTATTTTTCCTACCGTTTGTATGTTCTTCTTACGATATTCTATCAAGAACTATATTTCATACACAACCATATAATTTTTTTTATGTATACGTTAATTCTAATATAGGTTGATAGATCGATAAACTCATGGCTAAAACTTAACCTTTCATTGAAAAGATATGTATACGAAATAGAAACAGATTGTCAGTTTCTAAAACAATAAGTTTTTCCATTTATTTTATAAATATTAACTATATAATCATTTCAAATTATTCTGATCACTAAGAAAAACATAAAAACATACATAAATTTAATTATTCCTTGAATATTTATTTTGTATTTATGTTAATAATTAATATACAACCTTTATCATCTCTTTAATTATAATAATTGTTAATTTTTGTAATTTTTATAATTTTATTTCTCTTCCGGACTTAATAAACATTATATATCGTTCATTGAAACTAATTTATTGAGTATGATAATGCGATCTTTTGATGAATTTGTTTATATAATGTAATCACCATAAAAAGTACTAAAATAATGTGCGTTTTAAAACTGGATGCAATAAGACCAATCACTAAACTAATCATTTTACACGATCGTTTTCTCCACGTGCGTAATTAGTTTTGACGGGCTATCGATCGCGGTCGGTTTCGTCAGCCCGCGAGTAAGTGTCAAAGGTTGAGTACACTTCCTTGCAAGTGAGTCTAGGTCAGCCGTATTGGGTCGATACTATGAAAGCAGGACAAAACGAGGACAGAAAGCTGGTGAGTGTATGTGTGTGTAAACGCCTTCGATGTATTTCAGGACAAAGCGAATCGGGGAGAGCAAAGGCGTGCGCCCATGGCAACGTAGTGGGGGAATCCGATGGTCGTCACCAATAGTGGGGATTGAGAAATTTTATGCATGATTATTACAACGAAAATGACCGAGTTAAAAACATGAAGACTACTCGAGTCTGACTAATCACGACCCTTTCTACTGTATATCAGATTAATTCATTCTAATTATAAAATTGTTATTAAATCTTAATTTATCATATGTATTATTATATCTGTTTGAATTATATATAATTTTCTACTAGAAAAATGCAACAAATATTATAGAAGCAATAATTCGCTTATATCTAAATTAAATTTGTGTAATTCAAGATTGTGTTCCGAGAAAATAAATATTTCCAACGCAATGAAATGTTATAACGAAAAACGACAAACTACTGAATCGCACATACATATATATACCCAGAATATAGAAATAGAATACTTCGTTAATTTCTTCGTGTATTCGAACTATCTTCGATTTTGATTATCACAAACAACGAGATCAGCGAATAATGTTTCCTGTTCTTATATAATTTATAATAAAATGAAACTATCCAATGATGAAATTTTATTGTATATCATTTCTAAAGAAACCAAATCATTGTAACTAATTTGAAATAATTATATTATGGATAATGAAGATGATAAATGATAAACAAGGAGATATATTATCATATGAATACTCCAAGATAAGTTTATGTTATCACTACAATACTATACGAGACATCTAGTCATTCACGTAAGTCCTATTCTATGAAAGGGTGGAAGTTCAAGATAAAGAATAAGAAGTGGAAAAAGGCAAACAATGCAAGAGAGGAATGCAATGCGAGCAAAAGCTGCGCGTGATAATGCGCCTGTCCGATCCCGGGACAAACGAGGAAAGAGAGACCGTTTACAAGGATAGTAAGTCTTTCTATCTCAGTCTATTGCACGCAAGCTCTGGCAAGCTGGCTGGCACTCCCGAAATAATGTTCAACACCGACCGGTGCAAAGTGGGAGGGCAAGAGGAGCGGCGTAGGGGTGGCCTCTGAAAGTGGGGAGAGGTTGTAGCAGCGAGAGCCACGTACCAAGGGTAGGTAGGTCGAGGAAGGAGAAGAGGAACCAAGAGGGAAGAAACGAAGGACAGATCGAGCGAACGGATGGTTACATAATTTTCGTAATGTCACTATCGTGCAGTGATCCATGCATATGCAATCCGACCGACAATCTGGATGTATCTTGAAACTCCAAAAGAAATTAATTCGAAATTACGATTAGAAAAAAGAGATATATTGTCGAAATAATATTGAAATGTATAATTCATTGAAAAGATAAGTTAGAAAAATTATATGAAAAAGGAAATAAAAATTAAAAAAATTATGGACGCACAAGAATTAATGTATATATGTAAACGAATAAAAGAAAAAACAAAGTTTGTACAATCGTAAATAGAAATATATGCTTAAAGTTTCGTACACGTGCGTATATAAAGACACGAGTATGAGCCATGATCTAATGGATGATCAGAGGGGTGAGAGGACGCATCAACTTGCAGAGGAGATGGTATTGGGTGGGCATAGATGAAGGGGGAGGCGGGGCAGAGAGCGGCTTTGCGGAATGGCGAATCAATCGGTTAGGGTTCGGGGCAATACTCACCGCGCGCTGATAGTCTGCAAGATGTCTCGGTGTCTCGTCAAGGTGGCAAGAGAGAGAAATTTGATGTCACATACGCCGCTTCATCAGGCCACTGCGCGCCGTTTATACCACTCTGCCTTAGCGCTTGGCGCTTGCTACTAAAAATATACTCACTTGCCGTATATTCCCCCGCTTCACGTCTTGTACCGTGACCGACACATTTATTCGCGCGTTTCGGAGCACTCGTATACTTGCAACCACGAACAAACGGATCGCTCGATTCTCCTGGATCGTGTCACGGACGCCCGCTCGTCGCAGTGTGTTACTGGGTGCTGCCGCTTGTCGCCGCTGCTGCACGCCGAGGACGACGAGAGACTGCCAAAAGAAACCAAGAAAAAAAAAAAGAAGATATTCGAATATCTATCTCACATGTATTAACGAAAAACTGAACTTAAAAAAAAAATTGAAAAAAAAAGATATGAAAAGTCTTTGAATAAAGCGAGAAGAAACAGCAGCCTCTCTTAGCTCTTGCGCGGCGTGACCCACCAACACGAGACCCTGTACGACGCACAAAAATACACGCGCAGCTCCCGGTGAGCTTTTTTTCTCTGGTTCGAAGAGCGAGAAAACGTGATCGAATAATTTAACCGACACCGTTAAAAATCTTTAACACACTCTAACACATAAGAAACGGACGTGAAAGAAATGGAGAAAAATAGTAGATGTGTATATGTACATTATAAGATAAAAAAAAGAAAACATCAAAAGGAACACAAAGTTTGACAGAAAAAGAGGAAACAAAAGAATGTTCCACGCTTTGAACGAACAAGAACAAGGGAATGTGTAAGAATGTAGCACAGATCCGACGTCTACGAGGAGAAACGGACGGGAAGAAACCGAAGAGAGGAAATTACTACTTCTTACTTTTTCTCCGCGAGGCGCCGCGTCGCGACGCGCCGCGCATGCACTACTATGCTGACGACCGTTGGAAAATCACTTCTCCCTCTGCCACCCCCACTCTAATCACCCCTCCTCTTTCATTTCTCATAGTGCTTCTTCTTCGGAGACACAGAGAACATCTATAACCTCAGGCACATTCTGTATATTGGATTTATACAGTGAAGATAATACGTTGGTATCTTTATATGTGGATGCCTAGTTTTTTCATAGTAACTGATATTTTTTCATAATATATTTCCCATAAAACGTTATATAATTATTTTCCTAATTTTTTGTTAATACATAAAAAATCAAGAAGAGAGAGAAAAATGAAAAGGAAAAAAGAAAATAAAAGTAATATGCATCTCTTTTTGTTTTTAAAATCATTTATCATTTTAAAAAATTAATAATAATTTGTATTGGAAATTTATAAAAATGGATTTTTTTAATCTTTTTTTCATATAGATTGATTGAATTAAACATATTGCATATTATCAGAAATTTGAGAGCTACACAGACAATCCTTGCATGCGCGCGCACGCGAATATATTTTCCGTTTCGCGAATATGTCGCTGGCCTCATCGTGTATAAAATCTATATATACAGAGATGTATTCCTCTTTCTCTCTTATCTCTTCTTATATGCTATTATAGATTACGTATTTTGTGATTTTACGTATTTTACGTAATGTGTATATATAAAATTAAATAATATATAATTAAATAACATAAAATTTTTTCTAATTTTGTATAATATACGTTCTGTTTACACATGTGCATAAATTTTTTTTAATCAAGTTATACTATTAATAGATATACATTCGGAGATGTACGTACATGTTTTTAATTGGATTGGATTATATATCTCTTATAACATTGATATGTTATAAGAGAAAGAATAAGAGAGAGAGAGAGAGAGAGAGAGAGAGAGAGAGAGAGAGG